TATTGAGTTTCTTCCTTTTTTTTTTTTTTTTTTGGAGAGGTTTTTGTTATGGGGCGCCTGGCCTCACCAGAGAGACAGAGACAGAAAGCAAGAAATCACCACCCCCAGGGTGGCTGCGCCGCAATCCCTTCTCCTCCATTCTCCTCTCAGGATCTGGGGCACACACACACGCACCTATGTGAGTTTAAGCCACCGGGTCCAGGACTCAAACCACGGTTGACTACATGGGAGTTCAGCGACATAACCAGCAACTGCTGGTCCCAAATAAATAAATCTTCATCAACAAACAAACAAACGAACAAAAACAAGATACCTAGGTGACTTCTATGTACATTAAAATCTCAGAAATACTCATCTAAATGGCAAGACTTATAGATCTTGCCAACTGTTATGCCAACTGTTGGTCCCTTGCTAATACCTTTTTAAGTGTTATATTTAAATTTAAGACTGCTATGTTCAAATACAGATGTACATTTTAAGGAAATCATTGACAAAGTTAATAATACCCAGGGAATCGTGACCAAGATGGTATAGTTAAAACCATATCACGTGGAAAAGTAGATGGAGGGAGGCCTCTAGTGGAACTGTAGTAGGCTCTATCCTGCTTAACATTTTTACAATAAATTCCAACAAATCTCTAAGTACCTAATTCTATAACAGACACCCTGTAAGATGTTAGAACAGCACAGTGCAGTAGAAATCTCAGAGCTACATAATTAATTGTAAATGTTCTCATAAAAAAATTTAAAATTTTGGGGACAGCAGGTGGCATAGTGGTTAAAGCACTGGACACTCCGACATGGCCAACCATGGTTCAAGTCCCAGACCTGGTGGCTTGCTTTCTTACTTTCCCTCTCTCTCTCTTTGTCTCTCTCTGGTCAAATTAAAATAAATGAATAAATAAATAAAATTAAATAAGTAATTCTTTTCTAAAAATTTAAGAATTTTTTTAAATAGGTGAAGTTAATTTCAGTCATTTCTTTTTAAATTTAACATCTAAAATATCATCATTTAAGATGTAATCAATTTAGAAATATTATTAATGAAATATTTTACATTCTTATTTTTGGTACTAAGTCCAAAGTGCCATGTGTTTAAATTACAGCACATTTCAATTTGGTCTACTGACATTACAAGTATTTATCAGCTTCATGTGGTTTGTGACTACCGTACTGAACAATGCAGTGTTAAAGTTACAAAAGTAAAACATTTGCACACATGCGTGCACTGTTTATGTGTCAAAATACACACAATTTAATGAGGGCCATAATCCTACAGCAGATTTTCAACCTTTCCCCCACCAAGTCCCAGAAAGGATGATCAGCAATTCCAGTCTTCTTTTTTTCTTTCTTGAATGTAAATTGAAAGACAAAATGAGTGAGACAATCTCGAAGCTATTTTAATGTGCAGAAAGAGTTCTGGTACCTCAACTTCTATGACTAGCGGATTAACTAACTACTTAGAATGCACGTCCCAACAAAGCACCAAAGTTCTCAACTGACTTCCAGACTTGACCTGAAAATAGAAACAGACATTTGGCTATACTTTAATAGTCACAAGCAAAAGGAAATTTCATGTGTCATATATCTACAGACATCCAATTTAAAACAAATCTTTTGGGCCAGCAGGTGGAAAGGTGGTTAGGGCACTAGATTCCCACATGGCCAATCACAGTTCAAATCTTGGACCTGACAGCTTGCTTTTCCACTTTCTCTCTCCCTCTCTCTCTCTGGTCAAATTAAATAATAATAAATAAAACTAATTAAAAAAAAAAAAAAAGGAACCAGCAGGTGGCATGGTGGTTGGGGGTGCTGGACTCCCACATGGCTGACTGTGGTTTGAGTCCCAGACCTGGTAGCTTGCTTTCTTACTTTCTCTCTCTCTCTCACTCTGTCTTTCTCTGGTCAAATTAAAATAAGTAAATAAATAAATGGATAAATAAAGTTAAATAAAATAATTCTTTTAAAAAATTAAAAATAAGGACTGGCAGGTGGTGTGGTAGTTAAGGGCACTGAACTCCCACGTGGCTGACTATGGTTTGAGTCCTGAACATGGTGGTTTGCTTTCTCACTTTCTCTATCTCTCACTCTTGCTTTGTCCCCCTCTGGTCAAATTTAAATAAATAAATGAATAAATAAATAAATAAAGTTAAACAAAAATAATGCTTAAAAAATAATTTTAAAAAGATAGACATTTCTGGGACCAGCAGACTGGCAGCTTGCTTTCTCACTTTCCCTCTGTCTCTCTCTCTCTCTTTTACTCTGTCCCTCTCTGGTTAAATTAAAATAAATAAAGTTAAATAAAATAATTATTTAAATAAAATAAAATAAAATAAAACAAATCTTTCACATGTGAGTCTCCAGCAATTATCACTACAGGAAGGACATTGGGAATCCGTATCTATTCTTGCTAGAAACTTATACATTATGCTTATGAATACATGAATTACATAATTTCTTCCAAAAAGAAAGAGAAATAAAATGTGAAATGAACTTTCTAGATCCTACCCCAGAATTTTGAAATGGGGAAAATAAGATAGTTCCCTATGAATAAACCTATGAAATAAATACAGAAAACGCTGCATCACAGATTGGCAAAATGGACTGAAAGCAGTTTACACCAGCATCTTCTAGCAACATCTCCCAGGGAACGTAAGCGATTAGACGAGCAGCCCTGCTGCTTGACTTCCCTCCCTCCCCCAGCGCCACTCCAGATTCTGCCTCACAGAGACTGGATGACTCCAGGGCCAGGAAGATGGAGAGTAGCTTACTGAAAGTATAAACATCTCCAAAGCAAGGGCACTGTCACTTAGCAGTGGGCCCACGTACTACCAAAGCAGCAATGAGTAGAAGTAAGAAAGAGCTGGTAGTGCCCACAGATGTACTGTTGGCTGGTTTGGGAATTCAACTATCAAAACCCAGACACAAGGTTCCTACAGTGGACAAAGCTGCATGAGGTTCATGGCATTAATCACTATGGCTACCCAACTGGCTCCCTGGACTTAACCTTGGTCAAATGATCAACAATCAAATGCTTTTGACCATAATTTAGCTTCCTAGGATGATCTGCCTACAGGTGAATTTAAAAAAAAGGTTCTAATGAAAAACATGTATTTAGTTCACTCAGTCATTATCTTTTCTACTCTACACGGATAACGTTCTTGGTTTTAGACACTTCCTTATGACTTTTAATTAGCAAGAGCCAGTCCCTCAGAGTTCTATCTACTCTGAGGACATTGACAAGTGAATTTTTCATCCTGCAAAGCAAGAACCAGATTTTCCCTGGACAAGTACTTGCTGGATCCTTGGAGCACCATATGAGCAACTCCTTGGCCTCCCCAGGAACCTGCCTCTGCTTCAAGGTGTGTCTTCTGCAAATTGCAATAACCTATATAAACTGGCTACTTCCTATCTTAGAAGAGGTAAGAATTATTGGAAATTTATCCACATATACTTTCATCCTCCCCTTGCCTGGAGACATGTCAATAGCCCCTTAATTTCAATTTCTGAAGCTATGGCATACTATCATTGCACCTTGATTATATGACAGTCTTTTCCTCCTCCTTGAATTATGTACAACATATTTTTCTCTTTTCAGTAGAAATATATTAAAATGAACTTTTGGAACCAGCTGTTGGCATAATGGCTATGTCGCTGGATTCCCATGTAGTTGACCTTCGTTCAAGTCCTGGACCCAGTGGCTTACACTCACACTGGGTCCATGTACGTGCGTGCCCAAGATCCCGAGAGGAGCATGAAGGAGAAAGGACTGCGGCATGGCCATCCTCTTTGGGGGGGTGATTTCTCACTTTCTGTCTCTCTGTCTCTCTCTGTCTTTCTGGTGAGTGTGCGCACCCTATAGCAAAAAACTCCCCCCCCTAAAAAAAAAGATTTTTGCTATAGGGAGTGTGCACTTGCCAGAGAGACAGAAAGCAAGAAATCACTTCTCAGGGGGAATGGCCACATCGCAATCCCTTCTCCTCCATTCTCCTTTCGGGATCTTGGGCACACACGCACACATGCCAGGCATGAGTTTTAAGTCACTGGGTCCAGGACTCAAACTGCTTTTGACTACATGGGAGTCCAGTGATGCAACCATTTTACCATCTGCTGGTCCCAATAGATCACTCTATTTTGTTTAAAGAGTTATTTTATTTAACTTTATGTATGTATGTATATATGTATGTATGTATTTTAATTTGACCAGAAAAGGACAGAGTATGAGAGAGAGAGAGAGAAAGTGAGAAAGTAAGCCGCCAGGTCCAGGACCTGAACTGTAGTTGGCCATGTGGGAGTGCAGCACCCTTACCCAACACGCCACTGCTGGCCCCAGTTCACTCTTTTAATATTGTCTTTTGAGTGGCATCTAACACAGTGCTTTGCAAATAACAGGGCCGCAAAAAACATTTTTGAAAAAGTTTGAGTGAATAAAAATCCTCATCAAATTATTTTATTTGTGATAGCTTCAGATAAGTAACAGAAGTCCCTCATTAATCATAACTCTCTTAATGTAGCTCCTTATTTCTCTAAGAGAAATAGCATAAAGATCTGTTCAAGTACTTTTGCTTTAATGAACAGCATGAATTTTTTTTTTTGGGGGGGGGTAGGTTTTTGCCATAGGGCACATGTGCTTGCAGGGGACAGAGAGAAAGAGGAAAAATGAGAAATCACCCCTGGGGGGGGAGGGGGTCGCCACCCTGCAATCCCTTCTTCTCCTCGTGGGATTTTGGGCATGCATGTACATGCGTCTGTTATGAGTCTGAAGTCACCAGGTCTAGGACTCCATGTGGGAGTCCAGCGCCTCAACTATATGCCATCTGCTGACCCCATAACCTATATGACTTTCAATATCCTATATAAGCCTGAGGTTTTTGAATTAGGAAAATCAAGTTCGAAGCGAAAGTTTCTCTTTTAGAAATCCCCTCAAAATGAAGGGCTTTGCAGTTAAAGTGTCAAACAGGCACCCAAAGGAGCATGCAAACTGGCCTCAGGAGGCAATACCTTGGGCTGCAGAATCGGGGTGGTATTCAGGCTCTTCCTCCGGAGGACTCTGCAGGAAGTAGAGCTGCTCGGGCAGCATGTTGGCGATCTTCTCCTTGCCTAAGACGTGGGTGCTCAGAAGGGGGCTGACACTGCGTTTCACTTTCTCCCTCCTTTCATGAGCCATAATTTTTTTGGTCCGAGCCTTGATGTTCTCCCAGCACTTCTTCAGCTGTTTGAAATCCCGTAGTGACACACTTGGCTGAGAGTTGTATTCGTGGGCAAGTGCTTGCCAGGTACGTTGTTTGAGGGCAATAGTACGTGCATCACTTTTTTTACATTCCAGCACATACTTGTACTTTTCTACTAAAGCAAGCAAGATGCTCTTTTCCAATTCTGAGAAGTATTTGGCAGGTTTTATAATTTCGTTGTTTTGCATTTTCCACTCTATTTCTCCTGGCCGTTATTTATCCTGTAAAATGAAGTTGAAACAGTAATTACCAACTCCAACAATAAAAAAAGTCAGCATTTGGGACTGGCAGTTGGCGTAATGGCTATGTCACTGGACTGCCATATAGGCTATGACTGCAGGTTCAAGCCCTGGACCCAGTGGCTTAAACTCATGTGCATGCACATATGCGTGCGGGCATGCACCAGGCACATGTGCGTGCATGCTCAAGATCCCGAGAGGAGAACGGATAAGTGATTGTGGCGTGGCCATCCTCACTAGAGGGTGATTTCTCGCTTTCTGTCTCTGTCTTTCTGGCAAGCACACGCACCCTATAGCAAAAATCTCTCAAACCCGAGCAACGCCAGCCAGTGGTGTAGTGGTTAAGGTGGCTGAATCTCACATGGTTGACCATGTAGTTGGAATCCCAGACCTGGTGACTTGAAAAACAAGTGCTAGCAAGTGGCATGGTAGTTAAGACTCTGGACTCCGACATGGCCAACCACAGTTTGAGGCCCAGATCTGGTGGCTTGCTTTCTCACTTTCCCTCTCTGTCTCTCTCTGGTAAGCACACATTCCCTATAGCAAATCAAAATAAAGAAATAGAGGAACCAGCAATTGACGTAATGGCTATGTCGCTGGACTCCCATGTAGCCGACTACAGTTTGAGTTCCGAACCTGGTGGCTTAAACTCACGCTGGGCGCATGTGCATGTGTGCCCAAGATCCCGAGAGGAGACTGGAGGAGAAGGGATTGCGGCATAGCTATCCTCCCTGGGGGGTGATTTCTCGCATTCTGTCTGTCTGTCTCTGTCTTTCTGGTAAGCGCACGCGCCCTATAGCAAAAACCTCTCAAAAAAATTTTTTTAAAAAAAGAAATAGATAATTCTCTAAATAAAAATAAAAGAAAAAGGAAAAAGACACCTGCTATGTGTGTGTGTGTGTGCATTCCCCAAAATACCAAAAGGAGAAATGAAGGAGAAGGAATTGTGGTGTGACCATCCCCCATGAAGGGGGGGCTTTCTCATTTTTCTTCTGTCTCTTTCAGGCTAGCACACAAAACCTGTGGCAAAATTAAAAAAAAAAAAAAAATCCTGATGACAGAGTCCATTTAAAATTCAACCTATATATCTGGGGCTGGCAGGTGGGTTGTTGTTAAGAGGGCCAGATCCCACATGGCCAACCACAGTTCAAGTCCTGGACCTGGCAACTTGCTTTCTGACTTTCTCTTTCTCTCCCCCAGGGGGGATGGTCACGCCGCAATCCCTTCTCCTCCATTCTCCTCTCGGGACCTTGGGCACGCACGCACATGCGCCCGGTGTGAGTTCTAAGCCACCGGATCCGAGACGCAAACGGCAGTCGACTACGTGGGAATCCAGCGACATAGCCATTACGCTAACTGCTGGTTCCCAAGTGAATAATTCTTTAAAAAAATAAATTCCACTTGTATCTTAAGAATTAGAAACCAACATGAAAGGAGTCCCATTAGCAAAAAATGGGACAATCTGAATATCAAAGATAATGGATACACAAAGACTGATTAAGTTATTTCCTCAATCTTTATATATCTTGAATTTTCCATCCTAGAAAGGGGAGAAGGCTGAAGCTTTTCTGTTTATGGTATATTACTTTAAAATCACACTAGTATATGCCAGCTGTTCATATACTATGCCTGGGGAGGGGTTACTCTAGTTGTGAATGACTGAAATCTCTTATACTGAGGCTTGGAGGGAACTAGACCACCTTCGAGAGCCTTGAGGAATGTGGGCCTTATGTGAGACACAACCTCTCACTATGCTGTGCACCTCCTCATCCCAAAAAGTAAGGTTAGAGTGAAGCACGGTGTGATCAGTCTCCTCATACCTGGTACTGAGAGATTGAAACACATGTCAAAGGTTGTCTGTCTTCACATCCTGAGCAACAAGGGTAAATTTATCTTTCACGGTGTCTAGTCACCATATAATCCCTCTCCTCCAGTTCTCCAGCCTGCCAGATCTTGGGCACTCTTGCATGTGCCTCACTTTTTTTTTTTTTAAAGAGGTTTTTGCTATAGGGCACATGCGCTCACCAGAAAGACAGAGAGAGACAGAGACAGAGAGATAGAAAGCGAGAAATCACCCCCCATGGGGCATGGCCATGTCGCAATCCCTTCTCCTCCATTCTTCTCTCAGGATCTTGGGCACGCACACACACGTGTCCGGCGTGAGTTTAAGCCACCAGGTCCGGGACTCAAGCCGCGGTCAACTACATGGGAGTTCAGCGACATAGCCATTCATTACGCTGACTGCTGGTCCCCATGTTTCAGGAGAACCAAGTCAGGAATTCTAACTGCAGTTGCCATGCAGAAACTAGCCTTTCGTTTTGGTTGTTACAGGTGGCTCACCAGGAGACACAGATACAAAAAGAGAGGGCAAGTGGGAAATGGTGCCCCAAGGGGAGGCCATACAATTCCTTCTCCTCTTGGGACTTTGAGGCATGAACACACATGCAACCCAGTGTGATTCTCAAGCTGCAGGGTCCAAGACTTGAACCATGGAGTCTCTCACCTTAACCTCTATACCACCAGCCGGTCTTAGATCTATCCTTTTCTTTATTTTTAAGAGTTATTTATTTTATTCCATTCGTTTTCTGTTCGTTTGTTTTAATTTGATCAAACAGAGACAGAGAGAGAAGGGGAAAGTGAGAAAATAAGCCGCCAGGTCCAGAACTCGAACCGCAGTCAGCCACATGGGAATCCAGCACCTTTAACCATCATGCCACCTGCCAGCTCTGGATCTATCCTTTTTTAAGCACTGTATTACTATGGTACTACAGAGCTAGCTCAACCCAACCCTTTTTCAGAATCACTGCTATAAGGATTGGAAACTCTAATTTATAATGAAAAAGGATTAATTATTTTGTTCTGTAATACATAATATTATTTTATGTATACATAGATATCTTCTCTAAAGAAATCTTTTTTTAGGGACCAGCAGTTGGTGTAATGGCTATGTCGCTGGTCTCCCATGTAGTCGACCGTGGTTTGAGTCCTGGATCCAGTGGCTTAAACTCACACTGGCCATGTGTGCGTGCGTGCCCAAGATCCCAAGAGGAGAATGGAGAGGAGACTGCGGCGTGGCCATCCCCCCTGGGGGGGGTGATTTCTCGCTTTCTGTCTCTCTGTCTCTCTCTGTCTTTCTGGTGAGTGCACGCACCCTATTTCAAAATCCTCTCCAAAAAAAAATTTTTTTTTAATTTATTTAATTTTACTTATTACCGTTAAATAATTATAAATAATTATCTCATTTTGTTCACTATTTTTTCATTTGATGAGAGAGAAAGAGAGGGAAAGTGAGAAAGCAAACCACCAGGTTCAGGACCCAAACCACAGTCGGCCATGTAGGAGTCCAGCATTCAACACACATAACTTAATGCCCCTATTATTATTATTTTTTAATTTGATCAGAGATAAAGAGAGGGAAAATGAGAAAGCAAGCCATCAAGTCGGGACTCAAACTGTAGTTGGCCATGTGGGAGTCCAGCGTCTTAACCACCATGCCACCTGCCAGCCTTATCTTGATTATTTCTTCAAAAGAAATTCCTAGAAAAGGAATGACTGCTGAAAAAGATGAAAAACTTAAGGCTTTTGTTACACTACCAACTGATCCTTGTAAAATAGTGTACCAATTTATATCTCTACTGACAGCAAGTGAGCATATTGGTTTCTCCACTTCATTTTTTAAAATTTCATTCATTCACCCACTTAGTTATTAATTTGACCAGAAAGAGACACAGAGAAAGAGAGAGAAAGTGAGAAAGAAAGCCACCAGGTCCGGGACTCGAACCGTGGTTGGCCATGTGAGAGTGTCCAGCACCTTAACCACAGTACCACCTGCTGGTCCTCCATTCACTCTTGCTGTTAACACTTTTTATGCCAACTGTGGAGGTGAAAAATGTCACCTCATTGTTTAATGAGATATGAATTCCAGTCCTCAGGTAAATAAACTACATTCTGACTGAACAAAGTCCTTGCAAAACTTGTCAGTTACATGGAATTGGGACCAGCAGTTAGTGTAATGGCTATGTGGCTGGACTCCCATGTAGTTGACTGCAGTTCGAGTCCCGGACCCAGTGGCTTAAACCCACGCTGGGCACGGGTACATGTGTGCCCAAGATCCTGAGAGGAGAATGGAGGAAAAGGGATTGCAGTGTGGCCATCCCCCCTGGGGGGGGGGGGGCAAGTGAGAAAGCAAGCTGCCAGGTCTGGGACTCAAACCACCGTCAACCATGTGGGAATATAGTGCCTTCACCACACGACCTGCTGGTCCCACAACCAGTTAAGTCTGTTTTTTTAATCTTGCTCCCTGACTCTTGTCAGGAAGAATCAATGTTTCTCAGCAGTGTTGACCTTTATAACTTTTGTATTAAAGACAAACACACATTTACATGTTTGCAGGGACTGCTGATAGGACATGCTTAAAATATGTAAGAAATGTTGGTGAGGTAAAGCCAAACTCACATTCCAAAGTCTACAAAAATGAAAATATACCAGAAAAAAAAAAAGAGAGAGAAAATATACCAGGAAAGGACATAAGGAAAAACAAACAAACAAACAAACAAAAACAGTGGTTATACATATACCAAAGTTTATTATCTTGGGCTGGCTCCATGACATAGTAATAATGTCTTATAAAACCTAATGTGGAGGGACCAGCAGTTAGCGTAATGTTTATGTCGCTGGACTCCCATGTAATCGACTGTGGTTCGCATCCCAGACCCGGTGGCTTAAAACTTACACCAGGCGCGTGTGCGTGCATGCCCAAGATCCCGAGAGGAGAATGGAGGAGAAGGGATTGCGGCGTGACCATCCCCCTCTGGAGGGTGATTTCTTGCTTTCTGTCTCTATGTCTCTGTCTGTCTGGCGAGTGCACACGCCCTGTAGCAAAAACCTCTAAAAAAAAAAAAAAAAAAAGAAAGAAATTACATGGAATTAATTCCAAACAACTCAATAATTCTTCCTCACAATATGTGCAATACACTAGCTGC